GCTTGTTTCTTTGAGGCAGAGCCTCTTACTAACCTGGAGATCACTGGCTCTGTAGGGCTCACTGGCCAGAGAGCCTCAGGGACCCTCCTGTCTTCACCTCCCCGGTGCCAGGACGACAACGAACACAGGGCACCGCGCCTCCTGTTGTTGTTTTTGTTGTTGTTTTTAATGTGGGTTCTGGGGACTTGAACGTAGGTTATCATGCTTGCAAGGTGGGCATTTTACCAACTGAGACACACTACCCTAGCCTTACCCGGCCCCAGCCCCTGCTCTCAGACATGAACAAGATAAGAGTAAATGGTGCAGGGAAGACGGTCGCCATTAAGAGGGAGAATTCTAGGATTAGAAAGGAACAAAAAGAAAACTCACACCATTGCTGATTTCACCCTTTGTTTGCGCCAAGATTTCCCCTTTCCACTCAGTTTTCCTGTCTCAAAAATGGAAATGACAGTAAAAACTGCCCCTCCCCCAATGGGTGACACCCCACTCCCCACTCACTCCCCACCTCCTCAACCTTCAACCCCCTCACTCCACCACTTCCCCAAACCCACCCACCCCTCACCCCCGTGAAAGTTATGACTATGGTGGCTCCCCTAATTGCTGGTAATTGGCCAGAGAGACTGCTAAGGTGATTAAAGTCAAAATGTCGATCTGCTATCATAACACAGAACAGGAGACGTGGGAGATGTGATGGGAAAAAACCATAAACAGACGGGCATGCTGGTGTTCTGATACAATGTTGCTTATACCATAGTGTGCAAAGGCTGCATCTGGCTGTTGATGCCTGCTCCTTGTCTATGGCATTTTGTTCATTCATTTAGCCAATGTTTCTGGATTGTCTTTCTTTACAGAGAACCTAGGAAGAAACTCACAGTTCCTATAAGTGACCTTCATCTGATGAGCCTGGGGAAGCACTAGCAAAATACATGAGTTCAAAGCCAGACACCTCCTCCCTCTGCAGCATCTCAGCTGAGGACCTCAGAATGAAACGAAAAATAAACAAACCAAAAAAATGTGAGGAGAGAGTTGGAAGCAATCAATGCGGCCAGGAAGAAGGAATCCACTGACCCCCAATCTGGGCCATCTCAAGAGAAGCTGGCCACTGACTGAGCCTCTTAAAAAGCTTAAGAGTCATCCCAGGCCATAGTTAAAGAGAAAGCTCGAACAAAATAAAAACAAATGTGATCTTCAAAGTCTTAAATGTCAACTTGAAGGATGACTTAGAAGCTCTGGGATGGGCCAAGAGGCCCTGCAGCTGCTCCCTCCAGCATAGATGCCCCTTCAGTCTTCGGAGTTGTCACTTCCCTGGATAATATCGGGCGCGCGCGCACACACACACACACACACACACACACACGCACACACCCTACCCACTGAAACCCAAGCTTCCACTCTTTACAGCTCCACACGAGGAGGGACTATCTAACCTTTGCCCAAGGCTTGCTAAACAAATCTCCATCAGTTCCTGACTGTCCACACACCTCCACCTTGTAATCCTCCCCTACCCCCATCCAGAACACAACATACACTATACCACACACACACACATATACACACACATATACCACACAGGCACACATATCACACACATAAACACAGGTCACACAGGCACACACACACACAGGACACAACACTATACCACACACACAGAGAACACAACATACACACTATACCACACACACACCACACATGCACAGACACAGAACACAACACTATACCACACACACACTATACACACAAACACACAGGCATACACACACAGAACACAACATACACTATACCACACACACACACCACAGGCACACATACCACACACAAACACAGGCACACAAGGCACACACAGAGTTGATTTCCTCTCTAAACAGCTCATTCACAGAGAGATTCCCATCATGCCTCCGTCGTCAGAATAACAGCCTTGGGCACACTCATGGGCAATTCCCACTAGTTACCTTTTCTTCAGAAAGCAGGGGTAACCTGAGGCACTTTAGCCATTGGTCTGACATCATGGAAAATATAAGACCACATGGGGCAGGATGTTTCTTCCCAAATCATTCAAATTCCTGAAGACAGGAAAACTAAATATTGAAAAATATAATATTCCCTTTATTGAGAGTGTATTATTCCTGGTTCTGTTCTTAGTCATTTATCATAAATGTCAGCTCTGTACTAATGGTGCTTGGTATATCCACTCTCTAGATGAGGAAGCAGAAGTCCAGAGGACTAGTAGTCCCAGAAACTGATTCTCCCAGAAGTCTCTGTCCGCCCAGCAGGCTGGGACAGTCCCATGCTCTTCACAGTGCAGGCTGCCTCTGTACCCCATGGTTGAGTGGCAGGACCCTCAAGACAGTCTCTGACAGTCTAAATCTAGAGAGTCATTGGTTGTTCCTGCTCCATGTCTGTTTGCCCTGGAGGGATAGCTCAGGAGCCTTGCTAACCAATCACTCAATGGGACTGCAGAGAAGACAAAAACTAGCCAGTATGGGATGCGTGGAAATTCATCTCTGGTCTGAGCTTGGGGAAGGGTCCCTTCGTGGCAGAAGGCCAGAGGGAAACTCCACAGATATGCATGGAAAGAAAAAACTTACACATTGAAAAGGCTGCCAGCCTTCCTCTTACTGTGAGCTCTCTGAGTCCTGCACCGGGGCAAAAACATGTGGGTGGGAGTTCTCCTGTGGGTCCCCCAGCCTCTTCACTATTAATAGGATTTAATATTATTTTCGACTTTAAGTGACTGGAGCGAGGGAATGTAATACGTCTTTTTCCTCGGGAAAATTAAAGGAGAAAGCCCCAAGCTCTGTTTCTATCTTCCTATTCCGTTCTATTTAATACTCAATTTTCTTTTCATTCTTGACTCTGAATCCAAGACTGCCCAGTGATGGGGACCATTCCTATACTGAGTCAAAGAACGTGGAGGCCAGGATATGGGAAACCAGATCAGGGAGTGAAAGTAAGTTCTCAGAGAAGACCCCAGCCTCCCACATGCTCTCCAGACACAAAGGCACCCCCACTCTGGCTGGCTGTGCTCTGAGTCCTGCCTGCCCAGCCTCCACCTTCCCCAGTTCTAAGAGTCAGAAGTTTGTCTCTCCTCTTTTTGTCCTGATGGGGGCACAAGTATTCCCTGAGTCTTCCAGGATCTGGAGAAGTTCTGAAAACCCGGCAAAGAGTCTGACACTAGAGTGTGCACAACTCCTCGGGAACAGGACAATAATAGCACCGTTGTGTAGCTTTTTGTGTTGTTGTTTTAAAAGAAAAAAAAATGGGGGTGGGATGAAGTTCACAGTGTCAATGAAGAAACAGGAGAAATACTTCCATGCCCAAGGCAAGAACTGACACCACAGTCATGTCTGCGTAAACAGGAGTCCCATGTGCCTTCACAGGGCCCCGACTACCCCTGTACACACAGCCTGTCCCTGCGCTCACATGACCCTTTCTCCATGACATTGCTGCCTGCTCAGCCTTTTCCGGCACTTCCCAGGGGGTCAATTTGTATAATTTTTAAAATCCTCCCCAAATCTCAACTTCCTGTGGTTCTGTTTTTATTTCCAGATTTCCTTCCTCTAGTTTTCTCTCTCTCTCTCTCTCTCTCTCTCTCTCTCTCTCCCCTCACCCCCCGCCCCAGGATGAGACCAGGCTCCCTCCCTCCCACCCAAATATTGTTGGTGTTGGTTGGCTCTCCTGCAAAGTATAAAACCAGAGGCTCTGGAGAGACCATGGCTGCCAATCCAGGCTCTCCCGCCACTTGTGTGTGATCCCAGCTATGGGCACACACAGGACTGTGCACTGTGCGATCACTGGTTGATAGGCCCCTGCGGCCACCCGAAACACAGCACTGTCCTGTCCTCTTCTAAAAAACCTCGAACCTGAGAAACAGAGGCCACACTCAGGACAACACAAAACTGGAGAACCTCTCTAAAGTCAGAAAGTGACTTTTGTTCCCTGTGGACTTTCAGACAAATGTCCAGGGACTCTGCCCTGTGGCGGTATGAATTTGCCTCCCAGCCTCCCAGGAACTGGCCACATACTCCCCAGGACGACAGAGAAGCAGCAAGGCAGAGAGAGAAGAGTTAAGCCAAGCCCAGACTTCAGCAATCTGTGTTCAATTTTGATAAAAATCTCTCTTGCTCTCCCCCACCACCCCCTCCCTCTGCCCACAGCGCAGACGAGTCTCTTTATGTTACCAGTATACATTTTGTTTTGGGCACTGCAGCCCATGTCCCTTCCAGAGAACCTGGAGCTAGCCCCACCATTGGCACGTGGGGCAGAAACATCCACCCAGCCCCTGAGGCAGGGCTGGACACAGGACTGTAGCACCACCATCATCTCCTCCTCTCCTCTTTCCTCCTCCTCTCCCTCCTCCTCCCCCACCCTATTACCTGTGGTCACACTAGACCCTTCACGGGTTAAGTCAGAATCCCACCGCTACCGAGTTTTGACCATGCTGAGAACGAGTTTGGGCTGTCCCACAGGTGCCAAGAGCCCCGACCTGGAGAACTCCTCTCCCAGACGCTTCTGGGCTGCCCAAGGTCCCGTTATCTGGAGAACAAGAGCCACTCTACTGGGCTGCCCATCTTGTTTGCCAAGGCCCTGCCTGCAAGTGGGAGCTCAGGGTCTTAGAAAGAACGCACGCACCGAAATGGGCAAAGGAGGCTCCAAAGAAGTTGTCAGCTTTGAGAGAGGAGGTGCTGTCTATGTCTGTTCACTCAAGTCAACAGAAGTCCGCTTCCAAAGCACTAAAAAGTTTTCCAAAGTTTCCCAAAGCAATGTATGGTGAATGCCCTGATGCACACACTCCCCTCTCCTCCCCCTGCGCCCTCACACAGCCACCAGGCAGCCCTCTCAGGGGGTCAGAGTCTCTGCAAACACGTTCCAGAACAAAACAGGCAACTGGTGGAGGAGTTGCCTTTCCGACGCCGACGCAATAGCCAAAAGTGAAGCAACAGGAAAGTGTGGTGATGTTGTCCCACGCCTAGGTCCCTAGCGCTGCACAGCGCTGCACCTACCCTGAGGCCCGCATGTCGTGGCGAGGTTGCTGCTGTCCTGGCTTCCCGCAGGCACCGCGCTTCGCTAGCTCAGCTTGGTCCTTGGCTGCTCCGGACTCCGGAGAAAGCAGGCTGCTCCCTCCCGGCCGGCCTCGCGCCGCCGCCCGCCCCGCTCTGACGTCAGGCGTCTTGGAGCGAGGGATATTTATGGCGAGGAGAGACTCTGGTTTTTCCCCTAGGTGCTGATCCGAAGGCAGCAACTTGGGATTTGATTTGCAGTTTTCACACTGGGAACTGAGGTGCAGAAGGGAGACAGCAACTGGAGCAAGGCACAGTGAGGGTCCTGTTCTGCACTTGGCATCCAACCCTTCTTGGGGACTCCCTCTGTTTTGGAAGAATGTCATGGTCAAAGAGGCAAAAGTGGTCACCCGACCAGGGTGCTCCCCCACTTCTCTAGCCAACCTTTGCTGCAAAGGACCTTGTGGGGAGCCACCTGGCAGGCTGGGACGCAGTGTGTGCCTGGGACACACTTCCCTGGGCAGTGTGTGCCTGGAAGGTGCTGGCATGCTGTTGAGAGACTAGCCAGGCACAAGGAGTAAGCATTAATTAGCCCGCTGCTGCACAGCCTAACAACTTTCCCATTTCTTCTTTGAGAGTGCATTTTTAAAAATTTATTTGTATTAAATTATGTTCCACACTACTTGCCTCTTTGAATACCTTTTCCAACTCTGAGCTGACCTGTTCACCCCCATTGTTCGTATGTAGCATTCAAGTCGTTCAAGCAGCTTTTCCAAACTTTTAAAACTTGTATTTATTTAATGTTTTAAAAAGTAGGATTCTGGAGCCTTCTTGACTGGACCGGAAACGGCCTCAAGTTAAGAACAACTGTCTCTATAACCCACAATACCTTTGAGGGTGCCTATTTATGTGTGTGTGTTGTCCACCCCCAGATGTCCCTCAGCAAGCAAATGATGCCTCCAGTTCACCAGTCAACCGTGGCTTCCACATCTGTCTGTATTCTAACCACCATTACTCTGCCAATTCCATCCCTCTTTGGGTTAGTTTTACTTTTGTAAGAGAGTGCTGTGTGATATTTTACTCTTTAGACTTTTTGGGGAGCCCCCCACCCAGCTCCCAAACAAACCACACACGGAGACTTATTCTTAGTTAGGAATGTCCGGCCTTAGCTTGGCTTGTTTCTTGCCAGTTTTTCTTAAATTATCCCGACTACCTTTTGCCTCTGTGCTTTTCTCTTTCTCTATTTCTATATACTTTCTTTCCTTCTTACTCCGTGACTGGACTGGTGGGGTGACTGGCCTCTGATGTCCTCCTCTCCTCATTCTCTTGCTCTTCCTTCTCCTCCCAGATTTCTCCTTCTATTTATACTCCCTGCCCGCCAGCCCCGCCTGTCATTGCTCCTGCCTCACTTTTGGCCTTTCATCTTCTTTGGTTTTTTTGAGACGGGGTTTTTCTGTATTGCTTTGGAGCCTGTCCTGGAACTAGCTCTTGTAGACCAGGCTGGCCTAGAACTCACAGAGATCCACCTGCTTCTGCCTTCTGAGTGCTGGGATTAAGGGCGTGCACCACCACCGCCCGGCTTCATTCATCCTTTTATTAGGACATCAGGTATTTTAGACAAGCACAGTAACATAGCTTCACAGAGTTAAATAAATGCAATGTAAACAAAAGTTACACACCTGAAAATAAAATTCCCCAACAGACTGTCAGTGTGTGTGTATGTGTGTGTGTGTGTGTGTGTGTCTGGATTTGAGGACAATTCAAGTGAATAGGCTCGCCCTCCACAATGGGAGTTTCAGGTCTGAATGAGGCCCTTAGGTGACAGGAAGCACCTTTGCTTACTGAGTCATCTTGATGGCCCTTATCCCTCTTTTCCAACTATTTGTTGGTAATATTAGCCAGCAACATAGCAAATAGTAAATAAATGTGATCTATTTTTGTAAAGAAGGAGGTATAGGAAAATAGGTGTAGAGATTTATCCCTGGCTTATTGGTTTACTGTCTCCAGTAAACTGTCTCCTCTTAGATTCACCCACAGGCCAACCTAACTGTGCCATCAGAAGGCAGTCTGGAGGGGAGATGGAACGGTCTCCTTAGCACCTATACCCAGTATCATGTGAACCTGGGTCTGCAAGACAGGCAGCCCTGAGAAACGTCTCTCCAGACAAAGTGAGGGCAGTGACGGGCTGAAAGAAGAGCCACTCAGTTGTCTAGAAAGACATAAGGCGTGGACAAACCTGAAGACTGAGTTCTATCCCTGGGGCCTACACCGACTGCCGCTAGCTGTCTCCTGGCCTCCACAGGCACGCTGTGGCAAGGCTGCCTGTGCACACACAGCAAATAAATAAATACATAAAATTAAAATAAATGAACAGAATAAAAATTTTAATTTATTTAAGCAAATTTTAAAAAACAATTTTTTTTGAACTTTAAAAAAAAAACATGTGAGATAGGACTCGAGAGCAAGAGAGTGTTCCAGGTGGGCAGTGATGGGAAGTGGGGCATCTGGCTCACCCCACTAGTTCTGTTAGGATGAGGAAAGAGCAACGAAAGCTCATAGAGGGTGCTTTTTTGTGCTGTATAATATTCATGAAGCTAGTGAGTTCCGAGGAAGCCTGAGACACGGAATGGCCAAGGATGTCTCTGTACCCAGACCAACCCTAGCACACCAAGAGTCCTAATGGAGGTAGGCCATCCTGAAAGACTCCCATCTCTCTGGAGTGTTCCCTGAACATAAATTGAGTCTCTGAGGTACACTCACTGGGACACTTTTGCTTCCTCAGAGCAGGCAGCTCAGAATACCACAAACTTCCAGAGTGCATCTGTCTCTGTGGGAAGCAGGCCTCTCAACCCCTTCTTTCTGCTCCCTTGGACGGAATGCTCCATCTGCACTGCAGGCTTCCAATCAGCACTGAGGAAGACAGCACATGATCTAAGTGTGGGAGATGTTGAAAAGAACGCAGGAGTTCGAGGCCTGGTCGCCCTGGAACCCACTTCTTGCTGCTTTGGTATCAGTGTGGCAAGGATGTTTTCAGGCCCAGTGTTCCTGAAGATCGATGTCACTTGCCATGTTGCTGGGCTGTGGCATCCAGTGCTCTGCTCAAGCAGAGATATTTCCGTGGGAGTGGTTGTTGAAATGGAATTGATATTTAAATGGGTGGACTCTGAGAAAAGCAGACCATACCCCTCACTATAAGGCTTTGGGGACCCAGAGAGAAGAATGATGGAGCTTCTCTTTTCACAACCTGCCAAGGCTTGAAAGAATCCTGCAGGCCCATCCTGTTCCCTCAAGTTCTCCTCCCCCTCCCCTTGTCCCCTCCTCTTCCCCTTCCGCCTTCCCTTCTTCCCTCACCCCCATGCTTCCAATTTTCTCAGGACATCTTGTTAATTTCCCCTTCCCAGAGGAATCGTATGTTTCTCTTAGCGTTCTCCTTGTTACTTAGCTTCTCTGGGGTCATGGACTATAGGTTCCTTATCCTTTGCTTTCCCGCTAGTATCCACTTATGGGTGAGTCCATACCATGTTCATCTTTATGGGTCTGGGTTACCTCACTCAGGATGGTATTTTCTTGCTCCATCCATCTGCATGGAAATTTTAAGATGCCGGTTTTTTTTTGTTTGTTTGTTTTTTGTTTTTTTTTTTCTGCTGAGTAGTATACCATTGTATAAATATACCACATTCTCTTTATCCATTCTTCAGTTGAGGGGCATCTAGGTTGTTTCCAGGTTCTGGCTATTATAAATAATGCTGCTGTGAACACAGTTGAACAAATGTCCTTTAGTATGATTGAGCATCCTTTGGGCATATGCCCAAGAATGCTATTGCTGGATCCTGAGGTAGGTTGATTCCCAATTTTCTGAGAACCCACCATACTGATTTTCAGAGTGGTTGTACAAGTTTGCATTCCTACCAGCAATGGATAAGTGTTCTTCTTACTCCACATCCTCTCCAGGATAAGCTATTAGGTGATTTTGATCTTAACCATTCTGAGGTGTAAAATGGTATCTCGGAGTCATTTTGATCTGTATTTCCCTGTTGTGGGAAGGACAGATACAGAGAACAAGGAAAGAGATATCTTGATTGAAGGAGCCATTATGGGCCTAGCAAGAAAACTCACCTCAGTTGGGCGTGAAAACTCACACCTATAATTTCAACTCCTCTAGAGGCTCAGGAGAATTGAATCTACATAGTGACTTCCTATCTGAGGTGGAGGAGGAGGGAGAACATCAGGGAAGGACAAATGAGGAAAGGAGAGGAGAGGAGAGGGGAGGGGAGGGGAGGGGAGGAGAGGGGAGGGGAGAGAGAAGAAGGAGAGCAGAGGAGAGGAGAGGGGAAGGGAGAGGAGGAGGGAGAAGACAGAGGAGAGGAAGGGGAGGGGAGGGGGAGAGGGAGGGGAGAGGGAGGGAAGGAGGGAGGGAAGGAGTCTCTTACCTCACAAAGTTCTTTGGAGACTGAAATGGTGACTCACAGATTTTCCAGACCGCGGTCATCCCAGTCAGAACACACCCGCTGGCCCACATGTCCTGCTGAAGGTGGCACTGAATGCTCTTACCAATCATGTTCCTAATGACAGGAGCATTACGGTGCTAGCCTATATATGAAGCCATAGGCTCAGTCCCCAGTACCCACAAATGGCACTGTGATGCATGCCTGTAAACCCAGCGCTCTGGAGGTGGGGGCACGAGGACCAGCAACCCAAGGCTATCCTCAGCTACCCTGTGAGCCTGAGGCCAGCATGAGGGCATGGGGCTCCATCTGAGAAGGGAAAAATGAAGGGTGAGACAGTACAGAGAATAAAGACACTTGTCACCACCCTGCTACCCAACTTTGATCCACAGGACCTACATGGGGGAAAGAGAACCAAGTCCTGAAAAATAGTTGTCTTCTGACCTCAACGCCCCCCTCAGACACATACACACACACGCACGCACACGCACACGCACACGCACACACACACACACACACACACACACACACACACACACGATCATTAGCTAAAGGTAGGAAACATTACTTTAAAGAACGTAAGGCAGAAGCGGTGCTCTAACTGGCCCAGTTCAGCAAGCCCCCACTAGTCTCCCGAGCTCTGATTCTGGGCTTTCGCTCATTGATACTCAGGACTCTGGTATACACTGGAC